ATTGTAAGAAAAGTTTAAATCTGTAATTCAGTATTTACTTTTGTTAATTTGCTATTTTCATTCACAGGATTCAATCTTGGATATTAAAGTACCTGTATTCACACAGCCTGGAGAATTGCTAGAAATAAGGTCATACATGGAAGAATTTCCCTTTCCTTTCTACATAATTCTTAGAGATGTGAATGCCCTGCCAGAGACTCTCAGCGACGCCCTTAGGCAATGGTTTGAACTGGTGACTGCTTCAGACAGTTTGTAGAGTGCACCAAGATTTCATCGAAGCGTATAAGCTGATGTTCAAGGGGGCCAGAAATCCAAGACCTCAAACTTGCATTTTCCCTTCTCAGTGTAGGAGACTATGCAATCCATGATGAACTCAGACATCATCCCTGGTTTCCTTGCCAGTATTGGGAAACAGTGAAAAAACATATTTTTTCTTTGTTGTTGTTGTTTTACTTTCAGTAAGTTATTCTAGGGTTTATTTGATATCCTCATCATTAGGAATTAGGCAGGCTTGTTGAATAGTAAGAAGCAAGTTTTGCTTCCAAAAGAGGAAGTTGAACTTGAACTGTTGGAACTATAATAAAAATAGTTTGCTTTTAAGTCACCTGCGTGAGTGGACCCTGTGTTGAGGAGATGGGGAGGTTAAATTTTACACAGCCAAAAATAATAATAATTTCCTTTGAATACTTGAAATTATTCAATATTGCTGAATGGTTGCCGCAAATATTGCTAAATGGTTGCTGCGAGGGTATTTTTGTTACATTAAAGACTGAATTATCATTTTACACTGTGACTTTTGCCTTCTGTCCAAGGCAGTTATTAGGACACACTTGCAAGGGATTTTTTCTCCCCAACCCTTTTTCATTGCAAAAACTATGCATTGTTTGTGATTATTAATAAAGCCATCTTTTTGTTTGTAGTTATGGTGTTCATTGGTTGAAGGAATTAATCAGGCCTAAAATAATCTAAATAAGGATTAAATCTGAGAACGAAAGTAAATTCTGACACTGTCTTGAACTTGTCCATTCTTGTATGTAAACCAAAGATCGATGTAATGATTACTGCACTATTTCATGGAGTCCAGATGTGGCTGGTACTGCTGACCCAGGCAAAGTTACCAATTAAACAGGAAGGTTTATAAATGGAAGTTGGAGGAAATATTATTTCTTGTATAGATGCAATAATCATAAATTACAAAGGGGATATATACAGTACTTGGAAAGCAGCATCTGTCTGATATCTACTGAATGTATACCTCCCCAGACCAATATTGAACTGAAAGCCATACGATACTGCATGCATTAGAACTTAAATATTGCAAAGTATTTAGAGTTTACGTAGCACAGAATTTAAAGTACTTTGTGAGAGCCAGTTTGGTGTAGTGGTTAAGACATCAGGTTAGAAACTGGGAGATCATGAATAGTAGTCCTGCCTTGGGCACAAAGCCAGCTGGGTAACTTTTGGCTAGTCACTTTCTCTCAGCCCTAGGAAGGAGGCAATTTGCCAAGAAAACTGCTGGGATTTGTCAAGATAGTCTCTAGAAATCAGACCCAGTTGAACAGAAGGAAGAGAAACTCTTTATAATATCATGAAACAGCAGGTTTTTTACATTCCTAAAACAAACCTTTTTTAAATTACTTAATATGAAGTTACTTAAAACAACTTTTCTATAAATGGCTTTATGTAAGGTTAGACCTTGATAATTGGGACATGTAATAAATCAAATCATGAAGATTGCAAGGTATGTTACCATCATAACACTTTTCCATTTTATAATCTCACAAGGATATCTGTAGACTAGAGTAAAAGAATGCATTGTTTCATTGGTTAAGTTCCTCTTGATATTTTTCTGCTAAAATTATATTCTGTAAACCTTGGGAATTTCTTGTTATGGATGAGTCTATTTTGGTTATAAAGATCCAAATTTGGACAACATACAGGATGTGATTTATGTCAGGCAATTATGATCTTTACCAACAGTATAAAATGGCTGTCCAAAATAAAGCAGAACTACCTCAAAAGCTTCAGGCATAAAGGAAGAACATTTGATAAAATAAAATCTGATAGCTCAAGATAACTTCTTGCACTGTTTATTTCCTGGTCTCTTAAGTATTCAAATAGAACAAAGGAAAGTAATACTGATGGCTTGTAGGCTTTTGTGATAATGGTGAATGAGGGAAGGAAGCCCTTTATTTTCTCATGTGGTAAAGCTGTCCATTCTTACCAAAAAGCCTCCAGATCTGGTATTCTTTCATTGTCTAGAATCTAGCATGAACTGCGTGATTTATATCTCCCTGAAATGCCTCAGTGATGTTGAGGTCGGGAGACTGATGGCCCCTCTAGAACCTTCATTTCGTTCTGCTGCGGCCACTGAAGGATCAACTTGGTTTCAGATCATCGTCATGTTGGTAAAGTTTCTAGAGAGAAAAAAAGCTGTACAAAGTTCAGAAAGGAGTCCTGGTGTGGCTAGAATGCAGTATTGCAGGCTAACTCTACCCACAGCCTGGAGTTCGATCCTGACTGGTTCAAGATTGATTCAGCCTTCCATCCTTCTGAGATTGGTAAAATGTGGAGCCAGATTGTTGGCAGCAATATGCTAACATTTGTAAACTGCCCATAGAGTGGTGTAAAGTATTGGAGGTGGTATTTAAGTCTTAGTGCCATTGCCACTCCAAACTATGAATGCAAATTTTCTTTCAACATTTTGTAGCATTTTGTAGCAATGCCTTTTTTTTTTTTTTTTGGCAAATCAAGTAGGCAGTTTTGTTAGCAAGTATTTTATTGTGCATTCTGAAGCAGCCACCCCACAATTTCAGAAAAGCATGTGTTTTAGTGTAAATTGTGGGTTTTTCTGCATCCCTACAAATTTTCCTAGCAGTTGTACATGCCATCCTTCTTGACCATGACTTGATATTAACAAAACCCCAAATATTCCACTTTTTGATCAGAGTTTGAACAGTATTGATAGGCATTTTCATATCTTTGAGTATCTTTTTATATCCTTTCCTGGATTTATAAACTTGAAACTATTTTTTGCTTGCAGATCCCTTGTCAATTCTTTTGCTTTCCTCGTGCTTCAGTAACCAACAAAGTCAATGTACCATTTCTCAAGAGCTAAGAAACTATTTATACAAAGACACTAAATATAACCAAGACACGGGTGTGAATACTTTAGCTTCATTGCTATCTCAACATGTATATGACAAGTTTAGACTGCATTATAAGCTCAAATATGGGTTATTGAAACTTTTGAACCAAATCATTTTATTATTTCCTTTGTTGCTACGGTTTTCTTCATGATTGTCTTATTCTGCAATCCCTAGTTTAATTTGAATCATAAATTTTAAGTGTTTTGTAAATCACTCATGTACTTTACTCACAAAGGTCCATATCTTACAAATTCTGCAAGGAGTATGTAAACATGAGCACAACTGTATATGGTTGTAATAAAAGATTTTTTAAAAATTAAATATAAAATTATATTTTAGTGAAATCATTTATAATCTGTATATATAACTCATAAGTGTCAAGTAACATCAGGTCTTCAGTTTTCAGAGTAATTGAGGCCTTATATATATCTTTCCAGCATTGAAGCCCTAGACTTAGCAATACGAAAAGCCCATGGAATAAATTTCCTTATTTTAGCCATCAATTTCCATGTAATAGAAAGCATATTTGAAGAAATAAGGATTTCTCTTAGAAGTCAAATTAATATTTGAGTATTTGACAGGACAATATAAAAAGTATTTAAAATGATTAATGCATCTCTACACAATTCTTGTCATTTTATTTTCCTGTTTGTTCATGCATCACATTTAAAAACTGCCCAGGTCCCTCATAGAACTAGTCATACAGCTGTTTTACAAAGTTCATGATTGTTTCCAAATACTGGGAGCATGTTCAAAATAAAATGACTGGTCTTGAGTTGTATTAACCTGGAAATCCGCTTAAAATGTGATAATACAAAATCAAATAAACTTGTAAAAATGTGCCAATTCTTGAATCTCAGCCGCAAGGCAATTGCAGCCAGCCCATCACAAACATTCTCTGTTTGGTGTAATATATACGCAACACATTTTATTGTAATAAATTACCTTAAAGTTAAACTAATCCAAGCATACAAAGATGATTAGAGGACTGAAGGCTTAAAAAAAAAAAAAGAACAGTTGCAGGAATTGGGTATGTCTAGTTTAATGAAAAGAAGGCTTTAGGGGTGACATGACAGCAGTATTCCACTGTTTGAGGGGCTGCCAGAAAGAAGAGGGTAGCACCTGAGGGCAGGACAAGAAGCAATGGGTGGAAATTAATCAAGGAGAGAACCAACCTAGAACTAAGGAGAAATTTCCTGACAGAACAATTAATTAGTTGCCTGTAGAAGTTTACATGGTCCAACACTGGAGGTTTTTAAGGAGATTGGACAACCATTTGTCTGAAATGGTAGTAGTTTCCTGCTTGAGCAGGGGGTTGGACTAGAAGACCTCCAAAGTCCCTCCCAACTCTTGTTATTCTGCTATTAAAAGCAACTTTTCCTGGATTACCAGGATAGGGCATTCAGGTTAATGATTCAAAAGATTACATAACAAATAATACCAGTTTCAACAACTTTTCATAAAAGGTTTCTTGGTTAAAAAAAAAAACACCTTTGTGTCTTAGCTTTGTTGAGCATTTTTCTCATTATATAAAAGAACGACCTCGCCGCTCTGGAAGAAGAATCTGCTCTGCAGCAATGGATTGCCAATAGGCTGCTTGTAACTAGACAATCAAATTGGAATATTGATAAAAGACCTGAATAATATCGTCAAACTGCACTTCTGGTTATAGTCTTATTTATATTCTTTTTTAGTTATGATTGTCAATTGTTATTCTATAGATAGTTGGTTCCTAACTGAAGCGTTCAAGCGTGTCACGCTGCTCCCGACGTGCTCTAAAGATACGTTTCCCTAAACACGTGTCTTTTTCTACCACTCACGTCTGCTAAAGTAACAGAAGGGGGAGTTACTCCGAAGTTCCCCCGTCTGCGGGCTCCCTCTTTCTTACCCGTCCAGCCGGCTGCCGGGGCCGAGCGTGCAGGATTCGTCCTCCGCCTGTGGCGCTAGAGTCCCCGCCCCAGACCAGAAAAGGGGCCGAAGGGAGCGAGCGTGAGCCATGGCGGCCACCCGGCTACCCCCCACGGCCTTAAGCCTGAAGCAGGTAGGGAAGAGACCGCGGCCAGGGGGAGGCAGCTCGGCCTCCTCTCGGTCTTTGCGGCCGCCTCGCTCCCGAATATCTGCCAAAGCAGCCTTTGTGTTTGGCTGAGGCGCCGGCAGGAACCCGGGCGAGCCTCACAGTAGAAAAAGCTCCGCTGCAATCCGAGAGTCTTGAGAAGGAGGCTCCGGGCCTGGAAGCCTCCACTCGGAAGGAAGCCTGGCATTGCTACGGCAGACTCCTGGCAAGCGCCCCGATTTTGACCGGAGACTTAATTCGGGTCATTATTAGGCACCCCAGGAATTACAGGCAGGTCGTCTTCTCGCTCCTCAGTCGCGTTTGGCCACGGGCCTTTTTCTGATTCGGCTTCTTCCTTTCCGAAACATGCACGCTCCTCTGTGACCACTGGACATGACACTCTATGGCTATTTTGGCCTGGCTTGAATTGAGCCTGCACACTGGACCCACAGAATACAGTCAAAAAAGTAAAAATGGTAGTAGCGATTATATACTCAAAGCTCCCCTTGATGAAAGTCGTGAAGACTGATATAAATATTCCATAAAGTCGCCTCTCGTGTGGATCTCCATACAACCTTAGCCCATTCAGATGGACAGGTCAGGCATATGCACAGAACTTACAAATAAATAAGTTGACATAAAATTAACATAGGAGATAGAAGTAAAATATGTGGAGTATTCATGTTTAACTAAATGAATTTAATTTTAAAGAGGGCAGGTAATTGTAAATTTGATAGTTGAGAGAAACAGGTGGGTTCATGATAACAATATCCTTTCAAACCCTCAAGGCCACTCTTATGCTGCTGCTGAATTTGTACAGCTTATTGTAAGTGAATTGTTCCATTTTTTTGCGGAAAGAACAAATGGGAAGAGCTTTGACTTATGACAAAAAAGTGAGAGATCCATTCTTTGTTTCCTTTGATGATCTGCAGTTCCTCAGAAGACAGCAGGTTCTTCAGTTATACAGAAAAATCCTCAGGACCATTCGTCAGATCCCCAATGAAGCAGATCGTCGCTACATGAGAGACTGGGCGAGAGAAGATTTCAAAAGGAATAAAGAGGCTACAGATGAGGCAAGAGAATTCTCAAAATGTGATAGACTTGAACATTACAGCTGGTAGCTGGGCCTGAACCTCTGCCATACAGCTTTGCTTAGAGCATTAGATAGGGATTGGAAAATGCATTATGGGTGCTATGCAATGTCAATCAAACATCAAGTCAAATATTTTGGAATATTAATTCCCATTAAAAGAAGAATTTCCAAAGCTAGTTATGGTAAAGAAAAAGTGATTTCATATTTACATTCTTTTTCTGGGTTTCCAAGAGCTATTAGCTGGAGCCTGATGAAATGGCATATATACTTTGAATTTAAGAATTCTGATAACTTTGAATTTAATAATTCTGAGTCCAGGAATTAATTTCAAGTAAGAGAAGTGAGCAAAGTAAATCCTGTTTAGGATTCTGTCTATGGAAAGGAGAATAATTTAAATCATTGCCTTGCTGAATAATGCTTCCGAAATTGAGTAGTTGTTCTGGTGAAGAAGAAAAGCCATATTTTCATGATAGTTTTATACTTCTTTTTTTGCTTTATGCTGCTACTTCCTGTGAGATGGCTGCTCGTATAAATTTGACAAATATACTTGTTTAAATTACTTTGCCTACTAAGTATAACGTTTTTGTTTTATAGGATGCAATTAAGATGATGATCACTCATGGCAACCTACAGCTTCAGGAGCTTGAGAGAACACTAAAATTGGCAAAATCCTAGGCTTAATTCTGCTTACAAGTCAAAACAATTTTTCATTGTAGCTAACGGCAAAGACATTAAGTGGGAAGAGCCCTGCTGATAATCCAAAAATGTCCTGTGTACACTTCTCAAAAGTTAGATGGAAGACCTGATGAATACTCTTTGTCATAGTATAAATGCCATATGCCTGAAAATTAAGGTGCAATAAGAATAAAAAGACAAGCAATTACAGCAACATCCGGACAATCCATGTGAAAAGTGCAGAAGTAGAGAAAAGGAATTTGATCTTAGATTTATGAATTACACTTGTAAATACAAGAATACCATCACTTATTTGAACAATTTACTTTTACATGTATTATGTTTACCTAGAGAGTTCCACAAAGTAAAGAACTTAATGTTTATCAGTTCTGCACAAACCTTTGAAGAGATGATTTAATGAAATATAATATGCCTTTGAACTGAATCACTTATATTTAATCTCCAAGGTAATACAGGTATTTCAGAGTGGCTTCAGTCAAATTTGAAGGGGGTTCTATGGACTTTTCATAGTTTTTGGCTTCAGTGTTGTATTTTTTTTTTCTTCTAAAAACAAGTTGAAGGAGAACTGAATCTTTTCTTACATTGACATGAGTTGGCCAGTGTTTATTGTAAGTTGGTTTTAGCAAAATAGCCAGTAAATTTTATCTCTTTCTAGAACTATGCCTATGGAAGTGATTCAAGTACTCTGGTGAACAAGTGTAGAGTGGAACCAATATTGCTGTTATATATCTTCAGCTCTTCTATTAGAATTTGTTTAAGTAAATTTATTTGTAAAAAGAAAAATAAAGAGATCTGGTTTTATTACTCCTTTTTTGAAGCAGTATATTATTTTTTAACAATATGGCAAGATTCTGTCAGGGAATTACTGACTGGCTGAGCTATAAAACTTTCATTAGTATTGCAGTTTAGAAGCAGTAGGGCAGTGTTGTAGAATTACAAAGCAACACTCAGGGTTACAATATGCAATTTGGCTTGAGTTTCAAGAGGTATAGCGCATGCCATAAACCAGTCCAATGATAAAGGAATCATAAAAAGACAGGATATTGACAGTAATATTAGCAAAATTATTGCAGCAAGGTTAAGCCTTTTGAGTTGCCTTAAATATATCACTTGAGTATTCTTTATTCTGGTGCAGCTGAAATTCTGCAGCCTTTGTTAGATTCCAGTGCCACAAAGCATCATATCCATTCATTACTCCTCCTTGAGAGGTGACTTCAGTACTATTTTCACAGATTAGGCATACGTCTCTGGTTTTCTGCATCCTTGAAGGCTGGGAGACTTTGCTTTTATTTCCAGATTCAAGTCTTGGCATTAGAATCAGGACTGGTTATCTTCTATTATGATCACATGCCTTCTAATTCCTGAATCAAAATGTATTGAAATAACTTAAAGGAATGGAATTACTTTGTGTCACTATTTAATATTAGTAATGTTCTTACCAGAATATTATATACATAACATTGAAAAGACTCTTCGGAAGCAGCTTTTTGTTCCAGGATTATTATAAACTGTTCTACTGGCATAAAATACTGAGGTGCATATTTCACTTGGCAATTAGGTATTTGTTTCAGGAAGCATAAAAGGTCATAGAATCAGTTTGGTGTAGCGAGGAAGGTGCTGGCCTAGAAACCAGGAGACCATGAGTTCTCATCCCACCTTAGGCAGGAAAATTGACCGGGTGACTTTGGGCCAATCAGTCTTGTCTCAGCTCAGCCCACCACACAGGACTGTTGTAGGGAAAAGAGGAGGAGGAAGTATTATGCATGTTCACCACCTTGAGTTATAAAATAATAAAGGTGGGATAAAAATAAAAGAAACAAAAGGTGGCTGGTAGCGGGTGTGTAGAAAACTTGGATCTACCAGAATCTTGAGCTCCTATGGAAATCTAGCCCATAGCACTCTGTCTGTTACCCTGCTGATCAATGTAAGGTATATATTCACAATACAACTTAAATAAGAGCTAATAAATATTCACACTGAATTGTAGATTGATGTGAGCAACACAAGAAGAAATGTAAGAGCAAGAGACGGCAGAGTATGGTGGTTGCATCTCTACAATCAACTGGCATATATGTAAGACAGCTGCAGCATCCTGGGGTCAGGGGATCATAATTTGCAACTTTCTGTGCCAGCTTCCAACATATGAAGTCAACGGGGGGAAGCTGGATCCACTTAATTGCACGATTCAATTAACCACCATGGCAAAAAAAAAAACATTGTAAAATTAGGCACAACAGCAACTTGCTTCGCAACAGAAATTGTGGTCCCAGTTGTCATAAGTTGAGGATTACCTGTATTCAACTATATTACCCTTATTCTTGGCTGCACATCCGTCAGCTTTTTAGCATGAGAAGAGAAGCGCAAAGCCTATTTTCAATCCCTTGCTACACCTTCCCAATGAGTAACAGCAAGTCTCCCAAGTCAGCACTGCAACTGAACAATCTGGTCATCATGATCCCCTCCAGAAACTGCAACAATTTCCCATAGATAAAATTGTTAGGGCTGGGAGTACTTGCGATTCACAAAGTCCTGTACAATATAAAACAGGTGTCAAAGACGCATAGTCATGTTGCTGGCATGGGCATGGCCAGCACGTGACACACCTGGCCTATGGGCCATGAGTTTGACTGCCCTGATATAGAAGAAAATAATAGTATTTCTAATGTTGACCACTGTTTGCAATTTTCAAAATTCAACATAATTATTATGGTTAAGACCTAGGTTCTAGTCCACCATCAGCCATAGAAGCTCAATGGATGATTTTAAACCAATTGCTTTCAATTCAACCTTCTTCACAGGGTTATTACTTGTACCATTCTTGTCCAGTGTTCAGATAACCAGTGCCCCAAAACATACCCAATGTTTAGCTCACACTATATAAAAATACCATACTCAATACTATAAAATGCTCGAACTTAAAAAATGTTTAATATGTAATAAAACGGTTTGTTATAAAATAATAAAACTTTAAAGAATTCACAAAATGGCACAGGGACTGAAAAACAAGAATAGACATTCAATCACTCACACCCAGCAGTGTACCTGAAGGGCACTGATAGGTAACAAACGCATTCTACCCAGAATTAGTATCACAACTAGCACTATTTAGAGCTAAAACAACATTTTGCCCATCAATGAAGTGTTGGCTTAGGAAAACTGGTTTCCTCGAATAATTTCGTGGATACTTCATCATCTTTAAAGGCATGTTCAATATGAGTGAAATTGTTCATAAGTGTCCCCTGCCCTAAAATTGCTTCAGTGGAGTTTGTGAAAACAGCAATGGGCCCTTTTCTTGAGCCATGCAAGGGCTAGTTTTCCTTCTGCATTTTAGTCCTTAGCTTCTGCAGTTCCTCTTCTAAACTTTTAATGTGTTCTTTAAGGACCACTTTATCTTCCTGAGCTTTCTGGTCAGCTTGGCAACGAGCTTCTTCTATCTTTCTCTCATACCACTTCTCCATCTGACTTGACACAGCCTCAAAGAAGTACTGGGTAATTTCCAAAGCTTGAGATGTGCCTGCCAGCTGAGGACTGCCCTCCTTTCCTTCAGTGGCAGAAGGTGGGGGCTGCCCAGATGGAGCATCTCCTGGTTGGTGGGACCTGTGCTTCAACTGACCACTTTTACTTGGTTTCTTGGTTTGAGTCCCTTTGTCTATCAAGCAGCCGCTCTGTGATTCTGCCTTTGTACGTTCAGAAGTCTGCAAAACAGTTTGTACTTTTACATGCCTTAGTCTGGAAACAGAGTGTTCCACTCCTGGTGGTTCTTGCTGCAATCTGTTGAAACTTGCTTTATCCTTTGGCCTAACCACTTGGGGAGATGCTGCAGAAGGAGGAAGGACAGCACCACCCACTGACTGTTGCTCTGTTCCTGTAAACCGAAAGATAACAAATAATTATAAGTGCTTGGAGTTAGGGAAGCTTCAGAAAGGCCCAAGCCAAACAGGAGAATTGGAATCATAGCCCCAATACAGGATGGCAATGGATAAGGTCAAACTTCCTTAATGCAGTTTTGATCCAAGGTTATGAGATGAGATGAGATGAGATGAGATGAGATGAGATGAGATGATGAGATGAGAAGAGAAGAGAAGAGAAGAGAAGAGAAGAGAAGAGAAGAGAAGAGAAGAGAA